ACAGGTAACAAAGAGAAAAGAGGTGCTTTTAGTACGAAGGGAGATGTGAAATCATTGTCAATATTGCTGTCTCACTCGGCGCTCGCTTTGTAGTATTCCCATTGCACTCGAAAACAAGCGTAAAGGGAATAGGTTTATTCCCATGTACACTCCAAAACAAATTTGTTGATTTATTTATTGTTCTATCCCATATCCTAATTTTATTTTAGTCTATATTAAGTTGTAACATGATTTACTATGACATGTGAATATGTCTCACTTTCAAATATACAGCCTGTACATAGGTACGGAAATTCAGATTTACAGGTATCAAACCCATCGATTAGGGAAATATTTATGTAGCGAGACACATCTGCTCTGCACATCTTTCTGTGAAATTTGCAATTAGTATTTTAGTTCTTGTGCATAATTTCCATGGTTGTATAACGGTTCAACGACTGAAAACGTTTGAGGTATAATGCAAGCCTTTCCAAACACTAATTCGTGAGGAGTGTAGGTGGTTTCGGCATGGACGGTGTTATTGTAAGCAAAGCACCAGTATGGCAACCAGCTACTCCATAATGTTTATTGGTTTTGTGTATTCATTCTGAGCTATTTTCCAAAGCTCCGATGCTTTCGTGGTGGTATGCCGTTGACGATGTTTGAGTAATATTTAACAATTTACTTACCTCTGCCATAGTAGTAGATATAACTCGGTTTCTCTAACTGTCGCAATCTCTCTTGGAAATCCATACTTAAGGATAAAATTCTCAACAAATGTTTTGGGTACCGTATTTGTGTGTTTTGTCACTATTGGGTAAGCTTCTGTAAACTTTGACAGTTCAAATTAAGTGTTAGTATATAAACTATTATTTGCATGATCTTCTGTTAGTGGCCCTAAGATATCGAGATAGATTTTATCAAAAGCTGAATGAGCAGTCGTCGTAATCACCATCGGCGGCCAAGCTTTTAAAGAATATTTATCTTTTTGGCATTTCTCACATTTTCGTACATATTCTGCTACATCTTGATACATTGACGGCCAAAAATAATGTCTCTCAATATTATTGACCATTCGTCTAATGCCCGCATGGCCACTTGTAAGCAATAGATGAAAGTCATTCATGATATTTTTTTTGTCGTCTTAGTTATTTATTTTTTGTACTCCTTTAACAATACATAGTCTAGGTCCGGATCAGTCTTTAATACCTTTAATTCCTTGTTTTAACTCTTCTATAAATTGATAATTGTTCTCACTTCTTATTATATATTTGTTTCATTCCTATTTTACCGCTAATATATTCCAAATCTCTCACTAGCACGTCTCGCGTCACTAATGATCGTGATGAGGGATTAACGTATAATGTTGAGACTTTTGGTACGTATAATAAATGTCTAGTTTCGCACGATATTTCACGTTCAGATTTTAATTTTTTTAATTCCTTCAGTCATGTCAAGTCCAACTCTACTGCGTCGTTTGGTTTTTTGATCATATCTACAACATTCGGGTGATCAGTCCGATTGTCAGTACATACGTGTGGCGCACTATAAGTTTCCGGAATGAATAAGAAAAAAACACTATAAATGGTCAGAAATTAATTTATTATTTTTCAAAATATTTTCCGTTAGCGTTAATGCACTTTTTCATACGAATGAATCAATTTCGAAATGCCACTCCTCCGTGACAATCTCTGAAACATATTTTTCATACTCTTCGACAGCCTCTTCAGGTGATGAAAATCGTTGACCGCGTAACTGGTTCTTAATTTTTTGAAATAAATAAAAGTTACAAGGTGCCAGGTGGAGACTGTATGCGGGATGGCTCATAAGGTCAACTTTGTTCACCTTCAAAAATTCATTTGTCTGTCTGGCCGTGTGAGAACTTTGTTGTATCCAATTGGCCAGTGTATACTTTGGCTTCCTCGCTGTGCTAGGCGGTGGCGGGAGAGGTGGATTACATGTTACACATGTTAACTTTGAAACTTGTTTTACAACTTGGAATTAATTTGAAATATTTGAACTTTGAATTAGACGATTTTTTTTTAACTTTTAATTGAACACTATTGTTGCGACGCGTGAATCATGACGCCTGTAGTTCGGCGAGGCAGGGTCGCCATGTAAGGTTGTGGCAAGCGAAACAAATAAGTGCCATACAAAGACTAACTATTTATTTAATAACAGATCGATTATATGGAAATGAATACATGACTTAACCTACTCTATATAATATACATACACAATACATACTACAATATCGGCTGTATTTAGCAAATTTCTTAGTCGTGGAATAAATAACTTTAGAATATCTGCATATGCTTGAATTTAGAACAAAACAACACCAAGAATTTGGTTAAGTACTTACTTTTCAAAACAAAAAATTACAATATTGCCCTGAGTGGTGTTGTCCCATTTACAAAATAAATTTATTTTAAGCGGCGAACGTAGTTTAAACAACGAATTCGTATATTTGGACGCAATGGGTTGTAATGATTCTTTCCAGTAACTTTGTATGGATATGGCTTTTATTTCAAACTACAGATACGATGTAATCTCATTAAGTAATATATTAACAAACTTATTTATTTTTAAAGTTTCAATTGTGTATAGTATTGTTTTTGCGTTTAGCTTTTTAGTGATATACTCTACAATCGCAAGCAAATCAAACTTGACCGTTCTGAGAAATGTCATGGAGTCGAATTTAAACCGTGATTGTCAAGTGTAACGTGTTCGTGGCTGTACATCAAGTAAAATCACAATAAACATTTTTATTGTATTTATATCATAGATTTATGATTTATATAGATACAAAAAATGTTTACTTGATTGACGTTATAATTTCCTATTAGTTTCTAAGTTATTATTATTGTGATTACTACACTGATAACGACTGATTTGTTGACATAAAGGATTAAAGTGCCACCAAACTTTTAGTAAATATTTAACTTTCAGTAATACATATAACCAATAACGTAAAAATAATAGTCAAAAACTGTCACATCGAAAAGAGTCATCCCTGATCTAAAATTTGCTAAAGATGCTACCACAAACCCTATATCTTGTGCACATTTTGCATACCGCCCTTATTCAAGTAGGTTCCACAAGTTTAGTATCTCCACATCGTCACAAGTTTCCATAGCAAATATGAACAGAACAGAACAGAGCAGAGCAGAGCAGAGCGGACCGGAGCGGAGCAAAGCAGAGCGAGGCAGAGCGGGGCAGAGCGGGGAAGAGCGGGGCAGAGCGGGGCAGAGCGGGGCAGAGCGGAGCAGAGCAGAGCAGAGCGGAGCAGAGCGGAGCAGAGCGGGGCAGAGCGGGGCAGAGCGGGGCAAAGCGGGGCAGAGCGGAGCAGAACAGAACAGAACAAAGAACTCAATAAAAAAACAACATAAAATAAGACAAATCAGACAAAAAGCAAAAAACAAAATATGACGACTGCAAATTTTGTACTGTCATATTGTGTGGTTGTGGCGTACGCAAGAGGACTTCATTCAGCATAAGCCACAGCCACGATTGACTGTGGCCCTGGTTTTCAATGAGCCAATGTCTGCCACACACTCCGTTTTTAAATAAACAATGTATAATTTGAACTAAAGCATTATAAATGTAAATAAAACACGTCCATATAAACTGAACGACGAGCTCAGGCCGTGTTTGTGAGGCGGGTCACTCTCGCGCAGCCAACTGTAAACCTTTTGAGTCCAGCCGGCCGCGAGCCACCCCAACCCCTCTCCGCCACTCCCGCACATCTCCCCTCGCTGTAAATACCGACTGCGGACACCGTGCCGCCCCAACACCTCGGCTAATGAAAATCCCTTCGATCTCTTTATTTTTTATTCCCCTACATTGCCTGTTAACTGGCCGCTTCAGAAATTCTCAATCGAAACGTTCGCTCGTTTATTATACTGTACACTTTGATTAGCTACCTACGCACTATGTATTAGTCGAAAGCTGTCAGAATTTCTACAAATGAAATATTACAAAACTGTTCGTTTTCCAATAACACCGTCAAACAGTACTTAACAGTAATTACCAATATTAAACTTTTTTTTGTACTGCTTTATGGTTATAAACAATGTCTAAATTGAAACGCAAGTCATCAAATTGAGAAAAAATCACCGTTAACTTAAATATTAATAGATTTCGAGCTCTTAGGCTTTCGCGATTGTTACACATAGGAAATGAAACTATTTTCCCAGATTTAAATCGCATATATACCGTGACCATGGTACCTGTAAAGGGCCCGAAATGTCGGTTGAGTCAACCGTAACTATGGGACCTCTAAAGGGCCCGAAACGTCGGTTTGTTTGAAAAAACAAATATATGCAATTTAAATCCGGAAAAATAGTTTCAATTCCTATTCATATACATTATTCTGTCTGCAGATATTTCGTGCGTATGCCTGGCTCACCTAAAAGCAATTTATTAAACCAAACCATTAACAAATATCAAACACTTGTAAATTTATTTCTGGATTTCTCGCCCCTTAAAATAAATTATGTTGACACTGTTTACTTAAATAGGAAGCAAAACTTTGTCTGTAACATACATCATACAGTTAATCCTTATATTGATAATTTTATAAAACTAAGTGCATTTCCTTACTACCTACTCAATCACATCTTATACAATAAAATAGAAACTATAATAACACACATTTTAGTGACATGGGGATTAATGGGAAAAGGGGAAAGGGGAAAAGGTTTTGTTCAGGTGAATTGAACATTATTCTGAACAAAGCGACTTTTCCCATATTTTTACACTGAAAACGACGACCCAAAAAGCACTGCAGAAAAACTCGCAATACCGTAATGGGATTATAGTGAAATACAGGACAGTGTCGATCGAGAGAAACAAGCGACTAATGAAGTTAGTAATCCAATTTTAAACGGTTTTTAACGTCTGCCGGCCACTTAGCTTCCGGTCCCTCATATACTCGTAAAACTGTGCAATTTGAATTTCGGTACGCTCTGGCGATTATAACGTTTCATAATTAACGTTATAACGTTTCATGTTTATTACAGGATTCGGACAGAGTACCCAGACTTGTTATACAGAAAGCCGGAGACGATTCAGGCACAGCCACGCCGACAGGTATACCAGAAGTTTTTTTTTTAGCGACATCACTCCATCTGAATAACTTTTGATAATGGTACAACCTTTTGTTTCATAGGTGATAGAAACAGTCCATTCCCTTCAATTTACAATAGCAACTACCGAAACGGAGACCTGAAGTCACTTAGTGAGTATAAAATCTTCCACAAATTTATTCAAATTCAAAATAATCTTTATTTCATAGGTAAGCATTATTACACTTGAAATCGTCACAATGGTTAAACTCTACCGCTCATTCGTAAGGCAAATTCCCCTGAGAAGAATGAGCAAGAAACTCTAGGGGTTGCTCTTTGTAAATAACATTTACAATATTTTTCTTTATTTGAAACATCAGAGATCGAGACTACCTCCATGAGCTAAACGGGTACTACCACGGATTTTTGTCATTCAAGTACGCAGAAGTTGTATAATAACAACCTTTAGTATAAAGTTTTTGTTTCACTATAGTTTTAAACCTCGTGAAAGGCAAATTTTGTACATCAAGCTGAATCTTGTTATAGGAGCGTATACATTGCCCCTTAAATGATTTTTTGACTTTGTGAAGACGACTATCAAGAAAAGCTAGTTTATTTTTATTCCTCGTATTAATGTTATGTCTGTCACTATTTTTCATAAAGAAATTACTATTCCTTTTAACATAAATTACATTTTCATAAATGTACTGTGAGGCTAGTGTAAGAATGTTAATTTCCTTAAACTTATCTCTCAAAGATACTTTGGGGCCCAGATTGTAAATTGCCCTAACTGCACGTTTCTGCAGGACAAAGATTCTATTGATATCGGCGGCATTACCCCAAAGCAAAATGCCGTATGTCATTAGACTGTGAAAGTAGCTGAAGTAAACCAATCTGGCGGTTTCGACGTCTGAAAGTTTCCTTATATTTTTAATCGCGTACACTGCAGAGCCGAGCCGTTTTGATAACTTACTTATATGGGGACCCCATTGCAATTTAGCATCTAACGTTATACCTAGAAATACAACTGTATCCACAAGATTCAGTCTTTCGTTTCTAACTACAATGTTTGTAACCGTCTCTTTAACATTGGGTAATGTAAATTTCACACAATTTGTTTTATTCTCATTAACAAGTAGGTTATTAACAGCAAACCAATCAACTACTTTAGATATAGCATTGTTCACATCGTCGTAGGAACATTGGTGCCTTTTAACTTTAAATAATAAGGAAGTATCATAAGCAAACAATACTATCTCATGTTTTATACCCTCCATAAGGCTAGGTAAGTCATTAATATAAACTAAACTAAACTATTATCAAACCCTTGTTTATAAATAAAATTAATCACTTCATCAATTCTTCTTCAGATGGCTACAGACTTTATCCGCCACCGAATGGGACTCCGCGGAAGCGTTCTGAGGTCACGATGGATGCGCAATCCTTAAGATCTGTAGAGACTCATGCGCCGCCGCCCACTGACCCTCAAGTAAATAAAAAGTTGACAGGGTAAGGCTTTTTTCTACAATTTCGATCATTTGACTAAAGTAATACATTTTATCTGAGACAAATTATGCTGTCATTTTTCCAGGAAATATGTGACAGAAATAGCCGGCAGCATGTATGCTACAATATTGGTCACTCTCGGACTAATAGTCCATGTAGGAGACACATTCGTAGATGCTCCAGTCGCTGCGGTAATTTTTTAATACCTACTTTCCATTTAATTCTATCTAAATTAGGTAACTGACAACATTGAACATATTTACAGTTTTTCTTAAAAATAAACAAAGATTAAAAAACCTTACTAAAACCTTATTAAAATTTCAGATATACTCAATAGTACTAGCCAGCATCGGTTTGTTATACCACATATATTTAATAATAGATATAAGTCGGTACAAATCTTTGGCGTTGAAAAACCAAAAAATCAGACAAGATCATGAAGCAAAGATGGCAGACTTCTATAGAAAACACGAGGTAAACTTTAATTTATTTCCTCATATTGGCACTGGATCCTCAATTGAACCTATTATAGGAAGTTCATTCAATTAACTTCTCGTGGGTATAACCAACTAAAGTGGTACATTTTTCTCTGATTTCTCAATATGCAAAGTAGCTTTTTCATGTGTGACTAGAATGACAGAACATATCGTTCTATTTTGTACATATCTATATATGCTAAAGGTATGTCTCAATAACCAACAACTGTCAACTTGATTTATAGGAAGAATTCGGCATTACCGCTCCTGGAGATCGTACTCCAAGCGAGGTATACAAGCTTCCGCCTGGGCTACCACCGCCGCAATTAATCAAATTGAAACATGACTACTGCTTCAGCCATGGCAGGCATTCTGGTAGTTTCTACCTCAAATTAGGCGCTGCTGGTGAGATACTAGACTATTATAGGGTGGTTTCAGAGTCACGATTACAGGAAATGATGCAGAGGCTTTTCATGTTTACCGATATTGCTTAATGATCACACGTATGAACTGGGCTATCATCCGCTGAATATAACGTTGACAAAACCTCACCTGCATTTTTACGCCTGTCATTGTCTCCGAGAAATTGTGTACTGAAATCTTTATAAAAAAAACTAGAAGCTCCAAATAGATGAAGAAGGTAACAAAGTGATGTAATGTACTTACTTGACTTTGTTTTCTCGTTGCATATTCATAAACGGTGTTGCTACTTGAACATAAAGACTATAATCGCCATCCTAAATTACGCCATATTGCAGAATACTATAGAAATCATTTCTCACACGGGTGATGTCTGAACGTATAAAATAACATTATAACTCTTCCAGGTTTCGCTTTTGGTAACCTGGTCCATGCTGTACTGCTTATCACTGCCCAACTGGGCTTTATATTCGATGACAATATTGAAAATGAGTATTGCGTGGAATACGTACAAGTTGCTATGGACTTCTTCAACCCTATCTACTGCTTCGTCCAGCTTTTCTTCGTGTTTAAATACTCTAACGTCATCATTTTGAAACATCAAGTACGTATTTTTATACGTACGTATTTAGGTTGTTCCAGCTCTATGGTGGTGTGACGATTAGGATTTCAAATTGCTTTATAATTTTGCTATATAATTAACCGTGAGAATCAGCCAATCAATCAATCCCGAGGCCAACGTGTTTGGATAGTCCAATGCCGTAACTGACCACAGTAAGTTCTTAGGATTCATTCTGGATGAAAATTTAACGTGGAAGCGTCATATAAATTCTATGTGTGGTAGACTAGGTAGTGCGACTTATGCACTAAAAAAAAATTAAAACCTGTCGTTACAGATTCTATACTACGACAAACATATTTTGCATATTTCCACTCCAAAATGTCGTATGGTACCATTCTATGGGATGTCTCCACTGATTCTGACAGGGTATTCATTATTCAGAAACGAGCAAGTATCCCCAATACTTGCCGGAGTAACATGAAGAGTCTCTTGTAGGGACTTATTTGTGAGACACAGGATAATGACCATGTATTTATATGGAATAATCACATTCATACGAAAAAACTTACACAACTTTGAAAGGCTTGAAAGCTGTCATAACTCCCGCTCCACAGGACGACTGATGGTCGTACCGCGACGGTTAGCACTCACTGAAAAAAATCCGCGCGTAATCGGCCCGGCTTATTATGAGCACCTACCCGTTGACTTAAAAAATGAGCCTAATGATGAAACATTTGATCGTCTACTGGAAGACTTTTTGTTGGATAATGCGTATTATTCCACTGAAGAATATAGGGACATGGTCTTGTAATATATGTTGTAATTTATAGAGTCTAATTTATAAAGTAATTTATAGAGTAAGGTCTTGTAATATATGGTGTAATATATAGGTATAAATATTATTTTACAGAAATGAATAAATTACATAAACTTTATGCATACAATCATTATATTGACATAATTATTATTATATTATTTAATATGTTCCTACATTATTTCCCATAACTACATTGACTATGTTAAAATTACGTAGTACAAAACTTGTACTGGATATTTGTAATTTTCTGAAATGTAACATTTATTACTATTTGTAACGATTCTTTTAATACAATATATTGTATATAATAATGTAAAGTTTACAAGATAATAAATAAATCTAAATCTAAATCAGGTGAATGGTGCGTCGCATTCATTAGGAGTCGGAAAGTGTCTAACATGGCACGACTGGCTATGCGTGAAGGAGTGTGGGTTCCTACACTTATGAATAATAGTGAATGTAGGGTTGGTCAGTAGAAACACGAAAGTAAAATTAATGCAGTACAAATGAGAGCTTTGAGAAGTATAATAATAAGATTGACGAGACAGATTAATAAGAGAGTTTGAGCGAGCAAGTTGATACGGGCAGACCAAGGGGAACTTACCACGACCAAACTGAGGCCATCCTAAAGAAGGGCCAGGTCCCTTGTGTGCCCTTAACTGACGAACGTGTATGAAACACTGATACGTGTTGATGAGACGAAAGATGTGTGTCAGGACCGTAGGAAGTGGAATACTGTTGTCTCTGCCTATCCCGGAGGGAATAAGGCGTCAAGTATATGTATATTTGTGTGTTTTTTTTTTGTTATCTTTAATTTCTTCATAACAATTCTTTTCTTTTTCAGGGCATAGCTTGTATTGCGTTTATGCACATAATCGGTAGCAGCCTTTGTTTCTGGATATCGGCTATAGTGCGTGAAACTATACTTGCATTGACGATGTATGCTCAGTCTATCTACGGAAAACAAGATGAAAACTTTCATGAACTTAATAATTATACATCTCTTGGTAGGCAAATTTTCTTATAATCTGGTTATGTTATGCATCAAAATTGAAACATTTATTTTAAAAATGGCCAATTTATACAAATATAAAAAGTTGCATTAATTAAAAAAAAAATAGAATAAGCCATATTTATTATGGATATGAACTATTTATATTGTTTAGGAAAAGAATGATAAGTATTTCTTTTATTGAATAATTTGAGATTTGATAAGTATTTCTTTGATACATTGTTCAGTTTATATATTATTTTCAGAACCTAAAGTAGGTGGCTTCATAAATATAGGCGATTTATATGACGAGAATTGTGTGGGATCGTCAGCTATCACCGCCATCGTTGAAAGCTTCTCTCCATATTTGTATCCGTTCAGTGTAGAATTTAACATTCTCATTGGTATGTATTTCTATGGTCCTTTCTTAAATAGGTAAATGAGCCCAACCAAAACAGGTAGGTTGTGAATTTTATGTTAAATAATATACTCATAAAGGAAACAGAGCAATTACTCAATGACTGCGCAATTATACAACAAAAGCCTAAATTATTAGTCTACAAGACCCTTTAGAAATTTTCAAATTTTATATTTAATGGAGTTTAGTTCCAACATTTAAATTTCATGATCTTTTACTACTGTTTTATAAATGTTGAATTTAACCTCTGCAATCATTGTATCAAGAGAAATTCTGTGGTGAGAGACCTGGTATCTTATATTACAAGCTTCTGCGTAGTTTACGTACCAGCCCCTTGCAAACACAATATAAACACAATGTTTATCTAATATATTTTGGTTCATGTACACTGCCGTCCACTAACTAAAACGTTGCTAAGTGACAAATGGTCAAATAACCATTATAAATAGCAAAAAATAGAGCACAAAATTGTCTTTTAAAAACAGTTAAAATTAGTTTGTGTTCGACTTATCAAACAATTTTAGTATTCTAAAAGTGAGTTATGGTTTTTCACGATATCTCAAAAAAATATTTTGTCACTTAACCGTATTTTAGTTAGCGGACGGCAGTACAGTTCTCAAGTTTGTGGAGTTGAATAAATACATTACCATTATCATTGTCATTGTCATTGCCATTGTCATTGTCATTGTCATTGTCGTTGTCGTTGTCGTTGTCGTTGTCATTGTCATTGTCATTGTCATTGTCATTGTCATTTCATTATCATTATCATTATCATTATCATTATTATTATTAATAATAATAAACATCACTATCACTATTATTACTGTTATTACTATTAGTACTATTAGTACTATTAGTACTATTATTACTATTGTTACTATCGTTACTATAGTTACTATCGTTACTATCGTTACTATCGTTACTATCGTTACTATCGTTACTATCGTTACTATCGTTACTATCGTTACTATAGTTACTACCGTTACTACCGTTACTACCGTTACTACCGTTACTACCGTTACTACCGTTACTACCGTCACTATCGTCACTACCGTTACTATCGTTACTAAAGTTACTATCGTTACTAAAGTTACTATCGTTACTATCGTTACTATCGTTACTATCGTTACTATCGTTACTATCGTTACTATTGTTACTATTATTACTATTATTACTATTGTTTTATATATATATAGTTGTTTAGTTGTTCAGTTGTTCAGTTGTTCAGTTGTTCAGTTATGCAGTTGTTCAGTTGTTCGGTTGTTCAGTTGTTCAGTTGTTCAGTTGTTCAGGTGTTTATTGTTTTCGTTATCGAAATCGTTATCGTTATCGTTGTCGTTGTCGTTGTCATTGTCGTTATCATTATCATTATCATTATCATTATAATTATCATAATCGTTATCGTTATCGTTATTGTTATTATTATTGTTATTATTATTATTACTCGATCGCGAACTCTATTTCGTTCATTATGAGCTACTACAAGTAAGTACTGCAACTACCTTTCTTGAGCATAATATGTGTTTTTTTCAGTGGCGGTGTATTATATCATATGGAGTAATATTGGTCACTGCAACAATGAAGAACCTTCCGGAAATTCTGAGACTCAAGCTTCAGTTGATGACTCATATTCAATTTGCAAGTAAACATACTCATGTTTTGTTTACCTTGCTTATTTGTCAGATAACACGATGCATAGGCCTATTATTTGTTTTGAGAAACTAAATTAACTAACATTTATTAACTGCCTCCGTGGCCGAACGGTTACCATGCCGGACTGCCAAGCAGAGGTCCCAGGTTCGATTCCCGGACCGGGAGAAATATTTGTATGGCCTACATTTATTTCTCTCGTGAGTTTGGGTGTAATTTGTGGTTGTCTATGTGTGTGTCCATGGTACCCGCGACACAGGGTTTCCCTAGTGCGGGGCTATTTTGATTGTGAGCGTTATTATTATTATTATTATTATTTATATTTAAAAGCAATATGGGATACACTGCAATACTACTAACATCAAGTAACACTGTTTTATTTCAATTAACAGAATCCCAACGGCGAATGAAGACAACGACTACACAAGTAACATAGTAATACACGCTGACTGCCACGCCTCCAACAAGGGTCTGTTCTTAGGCCTGATTATTATGGTCGTTATCATGGGAATGCTTATCATTGGTTTCGTATTCAGTAGCGTCGGCGGGTAAGAATTTTTACTAACCGATTTTATTCTCTTGTTTCCTGTCTTCCAGGAAATTGGAACTTTGTGATAAATTTTTCACCACTCCCGTATTTTAACAATTAATATACGTTGTATGGTTTGTTACAGAGAATTCCTGGAATTAGGCTATCTTCTTAACGATGCAACGAAACTAGCCTTGCATACTGTAATGCTTTTCGCCGTCATCTTGGCCTTCGCTCAAATAATCAAATTGGACATCAATGAGCATTCGATATCACTCCTTGATGACATTCTTCTCTTCGTTTGCTTGCCTCCCTTTGTTATGGAAGCCGTTTTCTCCTTGATTGCCACGCTTACCATCCTCAACGTTGTAAAGAGTATTGACTTTTGTATAATGGTAAGGAAAAACAAAAGATTAACAAATTAGAGTTATTGCGTTAATTTATTGCTCATTTCATCCGTTTAATTCCACGGTGGCCTATTAAGAAATTATTATCTACATTTATTGTCTGGGTTTAATATTAGTAGTAATTTATTAGACACGATAAATGATAAAATAGTAGTAGGTACCGTACAATGTCGATATATTAATGACTGGAGTAAATAATTTCAGGTTGTGCAAGTCCTCATACAAACGCCGTTGATTATGGATGCTTTGCGGCGATGTAGTAACACCAGGAAGTTAAGACAGTCGAAGCCTGGTAGGGAGGTAATAATGTTACTCATTATCACCAATGTCGCAATGTGGGTATTCTACACATTCTCCTACAAATCCCCGGACAGTCTTGATGAAAGGTACACCTTTTACGGTAAGGTAGTCTGGACGATCCTCGGACACGTAAGTCTACCACTCATCATGTTTTATAGATTCCACTCCAGCGTATGCTTCGCTGATATTTGGGACTCTGCGTATAAACCCGGCTCAGAACATTGATAACATAATAAGGCGATTTGTAATAATGTATATATTAGCATTTTTTGCAACCTGTGCCTACTATTTTTGAGTTTATCCTGGCAACTCACGTTTGCCAGGAAGAAATTGCTATGAACTAATAAGGTCAATGGGCAAAATAAAGAATACCTTTTATTTGTCATTGGATTTTATTTTGTGTACAATAAGGAGTATTTGTATTGTATTGTATTGTATTTATTAAGACTGTGCTGTTATTAATGTTATTGTAGGTAATGGTAAGTTGTTCGTGTAGATTTAGATTACTCTGTAGATTGCATTACTATAAGTTCCAGATATACGTATAGTGTAATATTATACATGTGGATAAGAATATTTATTATACCTAAATACATTTGTAAATTGTTTTAAATGGATTTTTTTTTCACATTTTTAATAGAACCTACTCTTGTTTACATGCTAAAACACAACCAAAGAGACCGAGCAATTTGTGGTTTCATGCACCACATTTTGTAAATGTTATTTTTATAGTAGGATATGTTAATATTCTACACGTTACAAAATAATGTATAATTTTATATAGGAATGTACACACGCCAGCACATCAAGCTACACATTGACGTATCTTGTTCCGTTGCAATGGAGGCGATTTTCGAACAAAAATGTGTAGTCTGATGTGCCGTTGTCCGTACTTTAGTAAATTAGACTTTGACAATTCAAAGTCGAAAATTAAAAGTCTAATTAGACTGCCTATTGACTTGTGCACATATCTCCACACATATATATATACCTGTGCCAACAAAGCACCCCCGGCCCGCCTTAGGTGACCAACTCAGAGAGGCAGTTAATTAGTCTTGGTGGCCCCAAATGCAGTTACTGAATATTAGGTTAAGTACTATGCCCTGCAACGGCACTGGGCACTTAGCTCCGCGCGACCGAAATACAAACTAGTTACTGGCCCTCGAAAACAATATGTAGGTACGTTTATCTACAATAAATGTCCTAAAACGTATGTGCAGGGAGGTATGTCTATCACGTCTAATGAATTATAAAGTTATTTTGTATAATAATAGATGATGCTTGTCATAGGATAGGATTTCTCGGGGTGTTTTCGCTACCAAATATTATGAGGTGATTATGAACATTTGGAAAAGAGCCGGGAGTGCAGAGTGCAGAGTTAGGTTTACAACTGAGTGTGCTACAATCAGACTTTTAACTGCTCGCAAAATGTTTATAGAGGTTCAATAAACATGTAAATAAGAAAGAAATGTATTTTCAGTAGGGACCTAATTTTATTTACATATAATCAGTGAATCGTAAAAACAAGGTAAATGATACACATTGACCCTCCCTACTCGGATACTTCACATTATAAAGCTCGTTCCGACCTCATATAGTAGTAATAGAGTTGAAAATATTTTGTAGTTTGGTAAGTTGTAATAATTCCGCTTACAAAACAGTTGGTATGGCACAAAAAATATGATCCACGAAGTAGGGCATTGGGCGACGCGCGGATATGCGCTTGGCTGGCCAATGCCACTGTTGTCTAATTGTTTCCGATCTCTGAATAACTGCCGCGTATATTGATGAAATTTTGAACACGTGAATGGTAGCTGATAAAGGTATTTTCAATGCTTCAATGGGCTTTTACGTTGCGTCGGGAATTCACTACATTTTGCTGGTCATTTCCCTTTTGAAACATTTTTACAAGAGTGGTGCCAAAATGTATTTTGAACTGTAATAGAAAATTATCTTTCTTAGCTTTATGAAACATCATAAGCGATACAACGATGAACGTATGTCATTAATATTGACTATATATACAAATATTATTTATTTTTCTGCTTACAGAGCTACATATATATAAAAACAATAACACCGCGGTGGGATATTTACTCAAATGTAACAGAGCACAATGATTTTTATGGAAATAATTTTATTTTAACTGTGAAATGAGAAACATTAGTGATAATAGTTGAAAATGGCGGCCGTGTGTCAAGCTCATTCCATAGTCAAGAACCATCTAACTACCATTCATAGTCCAATTTACATTTTATTTACTATAATAATGTTATTATAGCTGGTCAAGACCATCTCTGACTATATAGGCACCACCGCAACCTAAGATTCCTCCTTCACCTTGGTTTTGTCTAAATAAAGGGTTTTCCATTAAGGGTGGATATATTCTTGAGGCTGCTTTTGTCAAATCAGTTGTTTATTTTTCATCATGGCAAGTTACATCATCGAGCAACATGTGCAAATGGTAAAAATTTATTACCAAAATGGTCGTCCTTACCAGTGGCTATTCAACGTTTGGTGGCCAAATACGAGTCGACCGGTTCAGTGAACCATCATCCAACACCCGTACGTCAACGAAACGCAAGATCTGTCGAAAACATCGCCGCTGTTCGTGAGAGTGTTCAGGAGAACCCGAGGAGGTCTATTACGCGTGCACCTTTGCCACAATAGAACACCCGTTTTGATATAATATTTCTTTTTCATTTGCACGTGTTGTTCGACGCTAAAATTTGCCATGATGATTTGTCTTTAATGACTGAAAAATGAACAACAGATTTGACAAAAGCAGCCTCAACCACATGAACTGTTAATATCTATCCGCCCATAATAGAAAGCCCTATAATTGTACTGTACTGCCGTCCTTGTCGTAAACAACGTAATCGATATTTTTAGCGAAATTAATCGAGTCGACGTGTATTTACTAAGCAATAATAATAATATTACGCACATACGCACTAGGAAAGCCCTGTATTGCAGGTGCTATGGACACTCACGTAGACAACCACAAGTCACACCCAAACTCACGAGAGAAGTAAATGTAGGTCACACAAACGTTTCTCCCGGTCCGGAAATCTAACCCAGGACCTCTGCGTGGCAGACCAGTCTGGTAACCGTTCGGCCCCGGAGGCAATGACACATTTTACTTAATTACCTATCTGTCATTGTTTCAATTCCTGTGTGATAACAGTGCCTGTAATTGATTGGGCTGTATGTGGTTAAATACTTTTTTCCCTGCATTGGCACGTGTACCTATAAAGTTCTCAATATGTAAAATAATGATGTTCACATTTGAGCAACGATATCTGTGTACATACTATGGCATTCAAATAATTATATTTTTAATTTCTACTTACTGAAACGTTAATAATCTATTTTTGTGCTACTTGTGGTGTTTGTAATTAGCTCTTCGTCATTTGTTTTTTGATATTCGTTTGTTGCTGAAATTTGTTATTTTCTTTTATTTATTGTATTTCAAGTAAAACAAATTTTATTTAAATTTTTGTACTACATTTTATGTGGCTACATTATAATGGTGCCTACTCAACTAGCACACAATCTACCTAAATTACTTCTGTATAAAAGTTAAAAGTAAAAAAAGCTGAAAGTTGTATATTAGCTGTTTAAGGGATTTACTATAGACTTAAGGTCTTCAGTAGCGTAATCACAAGTAATTAAACAGGCAAGTCATACAATAGTCGTACAACGTTAAAATTAATCCTAGAGAGATAGAACAACTAGTCATAGAGCTATTATATGGATATTTGATGTAAAGCAGAGTTATAAATACTTTTTATAACCACTTGAGGTCTTGTAGACGGCTTTTGAAGTTAGAAGTGTTTGAATGGAGTTTTTAGCTTCGTTTAAAACGCTTTAGGTGGTATATAGTATGTTTCGAAAGCCTTGAGCTGATAAAGTGTGTGCGTGTGTGTGTTTGTTGTATGTCCTAGCCGGTTTCGGCTACAGCGACTGCTATTGTTTAGAATTAGAGCTACGGTCGTTTGCTCTTTCATGTGCCCTTAGATGGCTACAGTAGCCAATCTTATTGGTAAATGTTCGCAAACAATGGCGACCGTAGATATAGGAAAAAATATCTATGGTGGCGACACGTAAGGACACTATAATAATAAAAGATGGCTGCAGGTGTCTTAACCTTGAGAGCATCACGCTTCGCGTCCAGATCTGACAGTCTCTGCTCTGCAAATTTTGTCACCTGAGTTTTGACAAAGTGCCCCCACCCAGAACGGCAACTAGACTGCATCTCCCACCTCGAGGGATCAATGTTGCAACTTTTCATGTGTCTTTTCAGAACATCCTTTTATCTCAAGAACTGGCCGCCTTGCTTCCGCTTGCCATTCTGGAGTTCAGAAAAGAAGATACGCTTCGCAACTCGCGATTCAGACATGCGAGAGATACCAACGTATATAACGCCGCATTAAATATCTTTCAATGCCGAAGACATTCGCCCGCCGAAGCACAATGGTATTTCTTACCGGATCCAACCACTTCATGTTAAGAGTTAAGTTCGCAGGCACTTCATCTTCCAATCGTGCGTATTTGGCGGCGGTATAGGACCCATGTCTCGGAAGAATAGAGAAGGTTAGGGAGTAGAGAAACAACCTCTGAGTAGACGGAAATCTTTGTGGACAACCTGAGATCTTGGGAACGCAGCACCTTGGATCGCAGTTTTTCGAAAGCAGCCGCTGCTAATGCAATACGGTGGTTTATTTCGGAATGGTTTATATGTATGTATATATTTACAATAAACTGGTACTAGCATTTTTATTTTGCATGTATTAAAGAGAAAACTTATTTTATCACACTGTTGTCATTTTTTTTGCAATTTTATCCTCCATCACTTTCCAGTTAGTAAAGTCACGGTCTTTATGAATAGCTCTATATCTTTCTACAATAGTTTTGATTATAGTGACCCTCCCACCGAGGCTTAGGGTATACAAGAAGGGCACTATGACCTGTGCAAGCGAACCCGCACAGGGACCATCTAAGTCAGGTCCTATCAGGATCAGCAAGTTTGCATGGACATCATCCAGTTCTCTGTAAGGCTAGTGCCTTAGGTGAGTCGTCCGGGTTCAAGTACAGCACGCTCCCCATTTTCCAGATAAATACCGGAGCCGTAGGTACGTTCAGTTCCCGTCGCGCTCCGCACGACTAACGGTTGCCACCGCTGAGTCGCCGACTCTAAATCACTTACCAAATCTCCCCATTGGTGGCGGAGCTGTAAGGCATGTTCACTTCCCGACGCCGAATGAACGATGTCCCTCCAGTTCTCAAATTCCTACGCGACCGGAGGGACCGGAAGATGTCTAGCTCATCCTCTACTAGCTCTTCGGCTAGTGTCGGAGATGCCAAGTAAGAGTGTCCTGCAACAATGTCCTGACATAGCTACCGACTTAAAGGGCAAGTCACGTCTCTCGCGCATCTCCTCGCCTCAGACTCTCAACTAGATCGCTACTAAAACGCGCTAGTTTCGCGCGGGAATGCCCCGGACACACACCATTCAGGGCAAACGAACATGTCCGTCGCTACAGCTAACCACAAATC